ATGATTGAATTAAGAGTAGTACAGATATACGATAGGTCACGATTCTTAAAGCTTCATATTTGCTTTTAGAATAAATCCTAACCATATATAAGTTGATGATTATTTATGATGGGAAATATGAAAGTCTTCAAAGCACCATTGTTTCATCTTGGTTATAATGCAATTCAGCTCAATTGAGCGGAGTTGTCATTTGAAATATAATGGGTGGTTTTCATTTTTTAATAGTTGTTATTATTCTGTTTTAATATATAAGATTGTATTCGGAAAAATAAGAAGGGAATATGGGGTTTTGCATCCGTGAGGAGTCAGGATACGCCAAAATGGAGGCAGGGCCCACCCTATCTATATGAGTCTATGCGAAGCTCAATAAAGACATAATCCAAAAGTGTGGTCATGTATTGTGTTCTTTTTTCGAGCTTTTGTGTTCTCTATTTATAATTGTTTTTCACCGCCCGCCCCGCGCCCACTCCATAACCTTCCACACACACATCTAATAATTAATATAATAATTAAATTCACTTTATGATGAAACAAAGACAAATACAAAGATAATACCACGAAAGAGAGGACCAGTGAGAGTCAGGGAGCAAAAGTGAATTGAGCCAATTTGCATTGTTGTTATATATGATTACAGACAGAGAGCCATTGTCGCGCACAAACGGCACTGACAGAGCTTGGAAGGCCTGGGAAGCGGAAAAATGTGTAATAAAGCAAATGACTGAGATTCGAAGGACCACAAATTGCCTACATCTGCACAACCAATCTATGACATATGATTCTCTCTTACAATCAAGCATAAACCTATCCTTTATAATGAGCAGGTGAATAAAGTTGAGCATAGGAGGCCTAGCACATTTAAGTATTCTGGAACTTAGAGTTTGATGAAAGTGATGTGATTATTATTGAAAATTGATTTAGCGTAATAAAAGATACAATAAAGTGAAGGTCCTTCACTAACTTTTCTCATTCAACAACAAGCTTTATCCCTTCTCTAATTTTTAGCCTGGATAAGACATGAGTATAAAAAAACACCATTAACCACTTGTAATGCAGAAAAAGCTGATCCTCTTCTCTCACTTCTGTAGGCATCCTTTTATTACAATTTTTTTTTTTTTTTTTTTTAATATAATTTATTCAAATAAGAGGGAATGGGTTCATGTGAGGAGGGAATGGAGGCAGCCTTTTGGTTAGAATGCCAAAAAGTTATATGTCTTTTTGAGTTTGGCTCAAAATTGTAGGGCACTCATAATTAATAATAATAATAATAATATTAAAATATAGAAAAAAATAAAGAAAAGAGAAGTGAGAATGATGCCATTGCCAGTTTATTACAGGCATTGACAAAACCCTGAGGAGTGAGGCCTGAAGGGAAAAGAAAAGAAAGAAGAAGAGCCATCATTGCCAAATTGCAATTCTTCAGTAACCTATTTTACAGGCATTGGCATGGGCCACCATTATATTCGTATATATATAATATGCTAAAAAGAAAGTGTCACAGCTTCCTCCTCCTATGTATAACACCATTACCAAAAGGTTTCTCTCTGCCTCTTAAAAATCTACCAAAATCCAATGGCTAATCACTTGAAATTTTTTTTTTTTTTTTTCAACAATGGGTTTTACAAAAAGGATCTAGTGAGAAAAAAGAGGGGACCCCCCTGTCTTGCCTCTCTCCCTGTATAAAGAGTTAATATGTACATGTTTCTATGATTAAGTTGAGATGGAAAATTCATTTAGTTTTTAAATTATTGATTTGAAACATAGAAAAATACTCACGGGAAGAGACAGATACGAGCGAACCTCAAAAAAAATAATCTTATACTTAGACCGTGTTCAACATCAATTTTTTTAAAAATAGTTTTTAGCGTATTGATTAAATGTTATTTTTTATAATCTTTATTAATATAACATTTAAATCTGCTTTTAAAGATTAAGGTGAAGTTTTATAACAATTACTCAAATAATTATTAATTATTTAAATAATAGTTAAATGTTATTAAAACAGTGAATGATTATTGAAATAATTAATTGAATGGAAAAGACCATCAAATAAAAAAAAAAGTGGTCCAAAAGTTTTAGCAAGTTTAATTTTTAACCATTCGATTAAATTAGAGGCAACTCATTGGAAAGAAAAAAAGGGTATTGATTCAAAATTTTTTACCAAAGGTGAAAGTTGTGATTGGAAGTGAAAAGCATCATGATCTATCAATCAATAAGATGAAAAAGATTATCAACTTTTGAGAAATATTATATCAAAGATTTCATGCAAAAGATATAAAAATAAATAAATAATAATTGCCACACTTTGATAATGATAACAGTTGCAGAGGAGTGCTTGGGTTTGTAACTTTTTCTCTTATTTTGAGAGATCTTTGAAAAATTGCGACATTGATCATAACCGAACCGACTCTTGTCATTTGTCAAATACCCATTTTGGCGGGAAAGGACATTCCTTTTTCATTTTTATCATGCACACACACACACTCACCATTACTACTACTAACAAACACCACGGTTTGACATTACCAAAAGCTTACAAAACTTTCTTTTCCTTTCTTTAAATTTGTCTCTGTTTTATATTACAAGGTTCAAATGAACCTTTTATTAATAAGGTTAGTGGGTGCCAATAATACCAAATCATGAACAAATCACATTACTTAAAGTGCTCTCTCCGTCTCTCTCTCTCTCTCTCTCTCTAATGTAGATTTGCAAGTGTTTGGTTAATCAGAATAGATGGGAAATGGTTAGTCGTCTTGAAATTTTGATCGACACAGAATATGTTATGTTAGTAGGCAAATTACTTCATATTGTTAAAAAAAGGAAAAGATATAGAAAGAGTTGTTTTGATGGTTTTATTTTTTTCAGTATAATTAGGAGGTGTAATTTCCCTCAGACCGTAGAGCGTAAAAATTTTTTATCCTTCCAGTAAAATGCATCTTTCAAAGATTGAACTTGTATGATCACCTTTACAAGAGTTGAAATCACCGACTATCTTAACAAACACCTTATCTATGATTTTAATTTAATTTATATTCTAATAAAAACGAAGAAAATATCCCGTGGGATGTTGTGAACCTAACATGCAATAAAAGATTTTTGATGGCTAGCAACACATGTGACTTTCCCATCCGTGTTTTGATCTCGAACACGACAAATATCTTTTTATCATCGTTAACATCTTACCATATTTGTAGTATTCGAACTGATTTATTTGAATTATTTAAACTAGATCAATAACTTTATTTATGGACCAAACCAATAAATATATAACTTTTTTATTGAAATGAAGATATTTTTAATACATTAAAAAAATATAAATTGAAAATACATTTTAAAAAATTTTTAATTTTCATTAATTTAATTTATAACCCGGTGTAGACATTTATACATCTCTGCTCTTAATTTTAATTCGTTAATGAAAAATTCTAACCATAGCCGACGCAACAAGAAACTTGCAGTATTTATAGACTGAACTTCACAAAATACATAAATTAATTAGCAGAAGGCTAATATGGTCAATTGACTGTTACACGTGTGAAAAAATAAATTAAACTGAAACAGATTGTACCTAATATATATATAATTATTATTCTCGTCCACTCATTTGTCATTGTTGTCCTCTAAATTCCACATTACTAAATCATGAAATTTTGTGTTTGATGATCAACAAACATTAGATTGAATAATTCAAAGTTTATAAATTACTAATTAATGAGATTGATGAAGTGCATTTAGAAGCACAACTATATATTTAAGTGTATTTACCTTCCTCAAAAATAAAAAATAAAAGTTATATTCTACCTTCTAGTTTATAGTTTCTTACCGCAATAAAAAAACAATTAAATCACTTAAATTATAACAAAATACTATTTAATTCGAATAAATTACCTATTATCTATCATAATCATTACAATATCAACAATTCTATTTCCATTAACTTGCTGTTATAATTAATAGAGAAAAAAAAAAGAAGGTAATAAGATGTATTTTAAAATATTATAGAAAAATAATTATAATTATTATATTTAACAGAGATAAGAGTAAAACTAAAATATTTAATTAATAGTCTTATCAAAGTAAAATAACTTCGAAATTGGACAACAGATAATATTTGAATATCAAACACAACAGACTATAGTTACCGTACTAACAATATGCTTAAAGAATATCAAACGCAAACAATTACAAACTTATTTGAATTTCTATAAAATTAGATTGCGGCGGCCAACCATTCCCCAAATCTCGCCACCAATCACTCCTACCCTTCATATAATTATTTTTAAAAAATAAATGAAAAAAAAAAAAAAAAGATTAAGAAATAGTATCAAACGCTAAACTCATTTACAAACTTATTTGGAATTTCTTAAAATTAGATTGCGGCGGCCCAAACCATCCCCATAAATCTCAGGCCACCAATCACTCCTACCCTTCAGATAATCTATTTTTAAAAAATTAAGATAAAAAAAAAAAAAAGGATTAATATGATAAGGATAGAACAACCAGACAAACACTAGTGTGACTAAAACCTCATTCCCCTACGTTGCAGTAACATTACATTTTTTTTGTTTTTCTTCTTTGAATGTAAAAAAAAAAAAAAAAAAAAGATTAATATGATAAGGATAGAACAAAACAGACAAACACTAAAGACTAAACCCATTCCCTACGTTGCAGTAAATTACATTTTTTTTGTTTTTCTTCTTGAATTGTTTTATTTTATATATTAATGTCAAATAATTTTAAAAAACAAAATAAAAACTCATGCAAGTGTGATGGTACGAGGAAGAAACGTCCTTACATAATATGGGCGTATGTTATATTTATTTTATGTCCGTTAGATCACATTCTTGATTCTTCTTACAATAGTCAAACTCAATAACTAAAATACATGACTAAAATAAACCAATTAAACATTAAGAAAAAAAATAAATAAGCCATGAAATATGTAATAGGATGTATGAAAATGGCCAAATAATAATAATAATAATAAAAGAGAAACAGAAAAATAGAGAAACTATATATTATTTACATTAATTGAAAGAAAAAAAAAATAGTAATAATGACAAAACAATGTTCATATAATTATGTTGAAAGTCATGGTTAAGATGGAGAGACAGAAAAAATATTCTTCTCTTTCATGCATCAAAGATACTCACCATCATTTCTTTTCTTTTCATTCTCTTTGTGATGGTCTAATTATGATAAAACTTTCTTGATAATAATCATAATAGTAGTAATAATATTAGTGATTATGATTTAATATAACTAGTCTGAAGAACAAATCCATGATTCCACCATACCTTCACTTCTTGTTGCCACATTAATCTCTGTTCCTTTATCACTGTTACTAACTCTTGCAGAGTTATTACTGTAATTGCCATTAATAGACCTTAACAGCCCTTGTTGATCACTCTCGTTATTTGACCCGCCACCCCGGCCGCCGCTGCCAAGGCTGATCACGCCATCTCCTCCCCAGTTGTCATTTCTTCTCAATGTTGCATCAGGTGATGTCACTATATTTTGAAGCCCTGTAAGGTTTGTAGGACTAGTCACATGGCCATGCCCATGGCTTAAACCGAACTCTTGTATAACTCCCATTTCTTGTTGCGGTTTAGTGGAGCCAATAATGGAAGAATTTCCAAGTGGGTATTTAGGTAGAAGAGAGTGAAGATTAAAAATTGGGTTTTGCAAATTTATGTCTAGGAGATTAGTGTTAATATTCTGCGGCGAATGAGAACAAGTGTTGTTGTTAGTTGATGAAGAAGATGAAAAAGGTGTTTGAATTTTCTGTGCGGCAGGTCTTAAAAGGTAATTAGGAGACGGCGAAGGGTCAAAATGGGTAGAAGCTGATCTTAAAGAAGAAGTGCCAAATAGATCAAGTCTAGTTCTTTGAAACGACGTCGAAGTAAAAGGAGGTGCAGGAATTCCAGTGAATTCTTGAACCATGGCTCGGAAATTAGTTGTATCGGTAGTTAAAACAGTAGTTGGTGCACGTCTAGATGCTCTGGATCTTTTTTTTGGATTACGACCAATATTGGTGGTGGTTTGATCGGTAGATGTGGAAGCAGAAGGTCTTAGTGTAGTTTCTGAGGGTTGAGGGATTTGAACTGAAGGAAAATGAGGTTTATTTTGTGATTGGTTGGTGAGAAATTGCTGGGTTGGAGAAGATGAGTCTATTAAAGCAGAAAGATCAGTGCAGTTGGTTTCAGATCTTAAATTTTTAGACCAGACCATATCAAGGTTAAGAAATGGGTTTGTGAGTTGGGAAGGTAGTGATCTAGTTGATGATGATGAAGGGTCGAAGTAATTTGATAAAGGGTCAAACATGGTTGATGATGAAGAAGAGTGGTGGGTTTGGTGGTGGTGGTGGTCTGCCGGTGGTGGTGGTGGTGGTGGGTTAGACATGGGACCAACATGGGTTAATGGGTTGTTATTATTGTTCAAGAAAACTGAGATTGACTCGGCGCGTGAATCATACTCCTCGTCTCCACCACTTGAAGATTGCATACTTCCACTATTACCAGAATCCATTTCCTTTCTTCAGAACAAAGAACTCAAACACACACACACAAAACAAATGAAGAAAAAGGACATAGACAGAGATATGCAGAGAGATTTTGGTTACTTACTTAGACACACCCATTTAAGATAAAAACTACAAAAACAAAGCATGAGGTAACAATAACAGTAATAAACAGAGAGAGAAGAAAGATAAATATCTTCTGGAAGAAAAGAAAAAAATCAGAGAAAGTACCCAAAGTTGTCTTTAAAGCTCTGATCTGCAAAGGAGAAGACAGCGTTTGGTTTGGTTATAGCTTTAACCTTGTCTTTAGACAAAAGGGTATTTGTAAAGAACAGAATAAACAGCCCACGGACCATGAAATGAAATTGATGGTTGCAGAGAAAGAAAGAAATAAAAATGGAAAATTAACAATTTGGGTTTCTGTTTCCTTTTGTTTTTTTGCTTCAAATATGAAAATTAGGGTTTTTTCAGTTTTGTTCAAGAGAGGAAAAAGACAGAGAACGAGAGAGAGAGAGAGATGGGCTTTGTTATATGAAAGAGAGCTCTACTAGTCTTTAAGCTCTTAGGCTGGTTTGGTTAATTCTGCTTGCGGTTTCTGTCTCAAAAGATAGAGGTGGGGTAGCCATGTGAGTGAGAGAGAGAGAGATTGGTGGTGTTGATGGGAAGCCAAGTGGTAAAAGTAACAGTGAGTTATGTTTTGGTTTGGAGTGTGAAACGAAGAAAAAGATCATAGTTTTAAGAGAGGGAGCTATTGAAAATAATAATAATAATAATAATAATAATAATATGTATTAGTAGTTTTTTATTTTTTTATTTTTTAAATAGTAGCATATACACATTAAATTAATAGGTTTTAAATTATTATTTTGAGGTAATAACGGAAATGGGCATGCAACCAAATTACGAAAAGAACTATCCAATAAAATAGAAAACTTGTAAAAATAATATTTTTTTTTGGTGTACATATATTTCTTGTATAAATAAAGTATAATAATATATAACAAGAGTGCAATATTGTTTGAAACATTGACAAATTGCAAAATCTTTAATAATAATAATAATAATAATAATAATAATAATAATAATAATAATCTGACAGTATCTAGATTCTATGTCCTTGTTTTGAGGGCGTTAGGTTTAATCATTGCTAAAGTAATTAGTTTCAAATTGATCTCTTTTCTTTACAGAGATTATTTAAGTTTAACTTTAACATGTTATTATTAATTAATAATAATAATTATTATTATTATTAATAGACTTAAAATACACAGCTCCACAGCCTTTGACCGAGTCAGGAAGCCTGATAATAATATCAGAAAATAAAAAAATTACGAAAAGAGGAAGAATCTTTCACAGTTTTTCTCTGCTGAAACTTATGCAAGAGTAATCATTAATTATTTTCTTTTATAATTTAAAAAGTTTTATTAATTTTATTTTATTTTTCTTTTCAATAATACAAAAACAAAAAAACAAAAATTCCAATCGAAGGAGGATGGATAGATCAGTTCAACAACAATCCTAAGTTCGCTGCAACTATCAGAACCAAAAAAGAAGATCAAGAATATTTAATTCATTAATAATGTATTTAATTAAATAATTATGTATCTAATTACAATATAAATACAAGTCTTTATCATTCTACGTGTTATATAATTAATATTATTTATTTCTTCTCTTCTTTTGTACTAATGGTCTGTTCTTGCCCCTACAAAAAACCAAACCCTAACCCTAAAGACCCGAAATTATCACGTATTCCAAGTCTACACGTAATAAAGTTACAAAAGCAACTTCTACTACTACTACTACTCCTATTATTATTATTACTACTTTTTTTTAACTAAATTAATTTCTTAGATATTAATATTTATTCAATAATTTTTTTTATAAATACTTGAAGGGTAATTTATTCTCAATGAATATGTTACAAATTAACTAATTTTCAAATATTTGATATACAAAATATATTTTTGACTAAAGATCTCTTGTACACTTACTCACCCTCTAATTTTATAGTTTTAGAGATATTTCTGCATTGATAAAGTATTTATTTATTTATTTTTAAGAAATGGATGTATTAAGAAAATATTTTTTATATGTAGATACATTTAAGAAGTTAGTGAACCACAAGTATACAGCCACGTGCAAATAGTTATTATTAATAATTATAATCTCAAATCACATACCTAACAATGTTTTATTCAAGTTACTTGCACCAGTAAAACTAGTGAGTTTTACCTGTGGAGGCGCCACCTACCAAAAGTGTGGAATCGACAGAAGCTCCATCGTTTTCAATGAACCTGTGCCTCACATTATCATTATTTAAGGATATGCAAACACAAAGTATTTATATTCCTCCACTTATTAGGACCGTTGGATTGACAAGTATCTTTCTGTGTTTCGACGTGTTGTGTGTGTCACAATAATTTCAGATCATAATTACAGTGCTATTCAAAAGGATAAAACAGAATATATATCATACATATATAATTTTGATGAGATGGAGGAAGATGATGGGAGGGTCCCCCGTAATCAAACGGTTATTAGCTTCACTTTTGGGTGCAATCTTTTCAGTTTCCTACCTTTTTCTTATATAGAAATATATTTTCTTCTTACCCAAAAAGATTAAGTAAACAAAATTAACCAACACTAATAAAATTTCTCTCATTCATTAATTTAAGTTCAACGTTCTCAAACAAAACATTATAAAAATAATATTTGGCTCGTGACCGCAAACAAACAACCATTCATTTTAAATCCCTTAATATTATAGATAAAATTCACCTGAAACTACAATTTAATTCAATAGATATAAATTTGCGCTTTAAATTTCATTTATAATTCTAATTAAGAATTAATCTTTACCCATAAAATGCGTATAAATTTAAATTAATAAATGATAAGGTTGTAAAAAAATTTATATAAAAAAAATCTAAAATGCTAAACTTTGGTGAGATAACTAAGAAAATGCTCATTCATCCTCTAAAAATTATTTCATGTATCAGATTATCGAACACAATAATATAGAAAATCGTTATTGCCGAACACAGCCTAAAACAGCTACCAACTATAAAAACAACTGATTCTATTGAACAGACCTTTAATGGAGGAAGAATATATTAAAAGTGGAAACGTATATTTCCTAATATCTATAGTATATACTCTTATTGTAATAACATTGCTCTATTATTATTATTATTATTATTACCATCAAGCCAACAGCAAATGCGATAACTGAAACCATGTTTGAATTTGGTAAGAAAAAAAAAAAACATATATATTTGGAATTTGGTTGAGTCAGTCTTCCAACTTGACCTAACCTAATTGGTTATGTCCCAACATCTTTTTGCATTGTTCATTCAAGTCCTTAATTAACCAATATTAACAAATTAAACCCACTATGGATACTGCAAATTGATTAAGTTGCTTTATCCTCTAGTGCAAGTTACCACAATAAGCTTAGTTACACGGTTATATTTTTGACTTTTGATCCCAATACTCTAATTTGGTGATACTTAGATTATTAAGGGATAGTGCTAAACTTGGATAAAGATACTTGTTTTTTTATGACAAACAGAAAATTACTTTATCAAGTAACTTTTGCATACCGTATTAACTTATAACCTTTTTCCTTAATTACCATCAAGTTGTAATTAACTTAATTTTACCAGGAAAATATTTAATACGTTAGATTCACTAAAATATAGTATACAAATACATAAAATTTATTTAAATTATGAAGAATAAATTAGGTACATTACATTCAATGTATTAAATGATCTCTCTAATTTTTTTTTTAAAAAATTCCCATTCTTTAAAATATATTCCCTAAATCAGAATTTCTTAAGACCACTCATAAGAATATTTTTCTGCTACCTTTTTTTTTTTTGGTTTTTAATTTATTTTTCCTTCTTTTTTGGTGGGTTTCTTCTCTGTTGTTATTCTTCACCATCCGTCAAGAATCCATACAACCGAAAAGATGGATATATACGAATTGAATTTCAATATTAGCTGTATGTCTTTTCCCTACTAGAAAGAAAAAGAAACATATGATATGAGACCAATAAATTGTTTATAAATATCAAATACAGTACAGGGAATGGAATACATGGAATCATTGTTTTTTTGATGTTCATGTTAATACGTATGTGTTTATTCCATTTTCTAAAAAAAGACAAAAAAAAAAAAAAAAAAAACACCATTCCGTCAGAATCCATTTCACAATCCGAAAAGATGGAATAGTATTACGAATATTGAACTTTCAATATTGAGCTGTTATGTTCTTTTCTCCTACTAGAAAGAATAAGAACATATGATATTTCGAGACCAATAAATTTGTTTATAAATATTCATAATTACAGTACAGGGAATGGGAATACATCGGAATCAATTGTTTTTTTTTGATGCTTCATGTTAGTACGTATAGTGTTTAATTCCATGTCTTAAAAAAGACAAAAAAAAAAAAAAAAAAAAAAAAAAGATCTGATAAAAAAATTGTTTATGTATTGACGCAAAAAAAAAAAAAAAAAAAAAAAAAAAAAAAGAATTGATAATTGTTTATGTTTGAGAATTCCTCTTGATTTATATGAAAATTGGTTTCATTATACAAGTTTGCATGAAAATTCTTATTTATTAAATTTTGATATATGAATTTAAAAAAAAAAATTGTAATTTTGAAGTTCTCAAAGGGCTAACTTTAATGCAGATTGGCTCGTCTTAATTTGCTTCTTCAGGTATGGGTGTTCATGTTTTTTATCATCTTTCAAATGGGATTTTTCCTTAACTTAAATTCCTTTTTATATATACCAAAAAAAAAAAAAGTCTGATATGTACAAGGATACTCGTGAAATAACCAGAAGAAAAAGAAAAAGAAATGAATTTTTTTCAATTATTTTTTAAAAAAATTAAAAAAGATAAAAGAACTCATAAAATTTGCATATGACTTTAATGTATATATGTACGTGGCATTACTCAAAAGAATTATTTTTTCTAGAACATAAAGATATTTCATTCATAAAAAAGGTATCTACAAAAGAAAATGCCATATAAATCTAGAATATCTATATATAAATTTATTCTTCAAAGTAACTAATAACTACTCATCCGTTGATCTCCAAAATCATGACACTATTTTCTCCATATAATTTGTTTGGGATTTACATGGAATTGTTGCTATATATATCTATATCTATATATATATATATATGTAAGGCTGAATTTTCAATAACAAGTCTACCTTCACCTAACCCCAGTGGTCTAATTTAAATTTTGAACTTGCTTACAAAATTGATTAGACTCCACTAACCCTTTTCACTTTCCTTTTAAGTTTCTTTAATTTTGATTATATATATTTTCAAAATTAAGTACTCATATATATTAATATTCCTTAATTAAATTTATACATTCAAATAATAAGAATCCTCAATTAACAATCATACACAAAAAAAAAATCTAACAAATTTCTCCCTCAAATTGCTAACCATTCATTTGTAAATTTATTTATGAATTGTTCATTTTCACTACGATTTCTTATATAAAGAAATATGAACCAATACCTCTTCAAAATTGTCAATATATAAGTTTAAATTTTCAATTCGAGCAAAATTCACATAATAAGAATTTAAACTTCAGTC